ACTTGCTCACTATGTTTATATAAGCATTGTTTGTAATAGCCAAAACCTGGAAACAACCTAGATGCCCTTCAACTGAAGAATGGATAAATAAATTGTAGCACATATACACAATGGAATACTACTCAGCAGAGAAAATCAGTTTTCTAATGGATTGAGGACAGCCAGAATTTGTGTTGAATTTAACACAGGTTTTAAAGGCAACTAAACAATTTCATTTTTTTAACTTTTATTGATTTTTTGGTGGATTTTATTGATTTTCACATCATGCATTCCAATATCACGTATTTCTCCATCCACTCACATCAGCCCTTTGCCCTTGCAACCTCCCACCCCCAATCAAAACCAAATTTAAAAGAAAAACCAAAAACCAAACAAAACAGAAGCAAAACAAAATAAAACAAAAAAGAACCTTGTCGTGGAGACTGTAGTGTGGCCCACTGAGTATCACAGTTTAACCTTTAGTCCACTCCTTTTTACTTGCAAATGTTCATTGCCAGAGTCATTGATCTGCCTTGAGGCCTCTGGTTTCTACCACCAGTAATGGGTTTTCACTAGGGCTCTTCATGGATATCCTGTTGTTCTTCTGTGTCATGGAGATCCTGCAGTTTTGGATCTGTGGGTTCATCCCCTTCACATGCACTAACAGTTCATAGATTCAGTGGATGTTGGAGTGAGCCAACTTACAGGCCTATGTCTGGGCCTGGGTGGTAACTAGGTTGGTCAGCCCGCCAGCTTTCTTTCATGTTCACCATCCAGGTGAGCTCTCCAGCACCACCTCAGCTAGCTCACCCAATGTAGCCTGCAGCAAAAAGTGGGGCCAGTTCTCCTGATCTCAGGTCCTCAGATCCAGGTCATCACCAGGGCCAGCTGTAATCTTTTGCCCAGACAAGGTGCAGGGCCCTCTCTCCCAATTACTGTAAGGGTTTTATAAGGGGGGGTCAAGGTCAGCTGTCCTTCTCTCACACCCTTAGGGCTGGCTCACCTATGTTCCCAACAGCAGGGTCAGCTCTAATGTGCTGCCCAGATGGGGAGCAGAGCCTGCTTTCTTGTGTGTTACAGCCGGTAAGGGTCAGAGCTAGCTTTCCCACTCTTATGGCCCAGGGGCCAGCTCTCTCACCTGCCACAGGTGGTAATGGGTGAGGTGGGGAAGGGCATCTTTCTCTCATCCATGCCACCACAAGGAAGATGAGGGATGGGGTCAACTCTCCTGCTCTCACACCCTCAGGATCAGCTCACCGGCATCTCAGACCGCAGGGTCAGCTCTAGTCTGCTGCCCAGGTGAGGTGCACACCTGTGGTGAAGGGTAGGGCCATGAGTGCAGGGGTAAGCTCTCCCGTGTGAGGGGCAGGGCCAGCTCTCCTGTTGCTGTATCCAGAGAGGGGCAGAGCTATTCCAGGGCCAGTGAAGGGCAGGGCTGGCTCAACACAGCCTGGCTCCAATGAGCCCTTGTGTTAACATGGGCCATGGACATCATCTCAGACCCAAGCCACAACAAGACCATGGACCCAAACATGGCCATTGGCAGCAGCTTGGGCCCAGATGTCACCACGGCCTGGCAGTAGCACAGGCCACCCAGACCAGTATAGCCCCAGTAGCAGCATGGCTCTAGGGCACCAACATGGTCTAAGATGGCTGACCAGCCCCTGAGCATCTGCAGAGCCCTCGGTGGTTACATAACAGGAGCCACGAACACCAATCCAGACCCCAGCCACTGCAAGTCTACTGACCCAGACATGTCCCTAGGGAGTAACCTGTGTTTGGATGTCTCCATGACCCCAAGTGGCAGCACCGGCCACCCTTATCAGTATGGTCCCAGCAGAGGCATGGTCCTAGGATACTAACACGGTCTCAGCTGGCTGACTAGATCCCAGTCATTCGCATGGCCCTCAGTGGTATCAGGAGCCACAGATATTAACTCAGACTCTGGCTGTTGTAGGGCCATGGATTCAGACATGGCCGTCGGCAGCAGCCCTGGCCCAAATGGCACCATGGCCCTGGGTAACAGTGCAGGCTACTCAGATTTGCATGTCCCTGGTGACCGCATGGCCCTTGGAGACCCTCATGGCCACAACTTGCAGCTTAGACCCCAGGCATCTATGTGGTCTTTGGTGACAACACGGGCTACGAACATCATCAGTACAGACCCTGGCTGCAGCAGGGCCACGGATCCAAACATGGCCTTCAGCCACAGCCCTGGCCAGGAAGATACCATGGCCCCTGTTGACAACACTGGCCCCCAACTGCAATAGGAGCCACCGACATCAACACATGCTCCCTCAGCTTCTTCGGGGCCCCTGACCAAGACCTCATCCTTGGCCATACTCAAGGTCTGGACATCACCCTGGACTCAGGTAGCCAGCAGGTCATTCATGCCAGCCCGTTCCTCACCTCCCTCACCTCTCCAGATCTGCCTCTC